ATCTTTTTTGAATGAGAGATTTGAGGAATTTAGGTTGAAAAATTGAACGGGGCCCACAATAATTAAATGAATATAATAACAAATTAAGGATTCAAATCTTTTAAATTTTAAAATTATAATAAAATAAAAAGTAATAAATAAGGGTAGAAACGATATTAACATCAAATCCAGTGTAAATTTTGAAACCAAAGACATTTATGAAATTAAAATTTAAAAATAGATCTCCCAAGATATTATCTCTTCTTTTTTCTCATGGGAATAACATAGTCCACTCATCAATTATCAAGTCAGCTGAGTCCATTCATCTATTTAACTACCACATCACATAACATTTGGATGAACTTATTTGACATCATATTTTATTAGTTAGGAATTAAACACATAGAAAAAGGATCAAATTTTCAATAAACTCGTTAAACATTTGGAGGAATTAGAAACTTGCTTAGATGGCCTAGTTCCTCTTCTAAGTTTAGAAGAAAAATGCAAGAGTATTAGAGGAGCAAACAAAAAAAAAGCATGAGACCTATCGAATATTTACAAGTCTTTACAAACTTATGCTCAAAATGGTTCCAGTAGGTAAAATGATATTAAAAAAAACTTACCCAAGGAGTGCCTAACTAATATGTAGAAAATTAATTTGAAATTTATTTTCAAGAAATGAAGATGACATAATTGTAATTTGAACTTTTCAAGCTTGAAGTTTTACATTCACCGATGATTGAATAATAAATTTGAAGAGAAATTTGAGGTTAGTAAATCGATGACTCTTGATATTGACGAATTACCGATATAGTATGTTATATTGTTTAGGTAAGTTCATGTATTGCGATTGTATTAGTTTAGTTATTTATATATGTTTCACTTAAGTCCAAGGATTAAATTCTTGGAATATGTTTTGTATTCTGACTTTTCAGATGTGAGTGATTCTTATCATTAAAATTTTAACAACTATGCAATTCTTTATGCAGCATTGAAGTGACGACAACTATGCAATTCTTTATGCAGCATTGAAGTGACGGTGGTGGCACTCATATTATGATAGCTTGGTCAGAATAGAGAAGTTTTTTTTAGTTGTTTTAAGTTTTAGAAACTTGTTTGTAAATTTAGATGCATTTAGTTGTTTTTATTTTCAGGAACTTGTAAATATTGTAAATGTTGTGAATGTTGTGGATGATGAGTATTGAATTAATAAAAATTATATTATTATCAAATTTTCAAGTTTTTCAAATTTAGTGTTGAATCTTGGGAACGTCACTACCTTTTGTGACAAAATGGAACTTCAGATTTGCAAAAAAGACAAATTAAAAATTAAAAAAAAAAGAAAAAAGGAAAAATGCAACAAAAACAAGAAACGTCGCAATTGAACGTTGCGACGAAATTTGTTTTCGTTGCTATAGCGACGAAACGCCTTTTCGTCGCCGAAGACCTTCAGCGACAGCGTTTCTTGTGACAAAAGCGTTTTTGTCGCTAAAGACCTTCAGCGACGCAAAAAGACTTTCAGCGACGAAAATATTTTGTCACTGAAACTCATAATTTTTGTGGTTATAGTGAATCACCAGGACTGGTTGCTGCAACCAGTCAGTAGATTTAGGCAGAAAAATTAAGCATGGAATCAGTTCAAATTAAGCGAGTCATTCGTTGCCAATCAACTCTTACCGGAACAGCTTGGGTTCTTACTTCTACTGATTTGTGAACGCCGTTGAGCATGGGTGTCGCCGTTGGAGAAGGGAGAACAATGGTATGCAATCCTGGTCCCATCCCAGACCGGGATCTGCACCAATCCAATCCAGTTTTTTTTTTTTTTGTCTTCTCCCCTCGACCTTATTTGTTGTCAATTAAAATCCAAATCTTTTTGACCATAATTTAGTGATCGGAGGATTTAATCAACTTATTGGAGAATTTTTTGTGTGAATTTGGGGTTGTTAAGTAATTCATTCCTAAATTAAAATGTTGATTTTTTTTCATATTAGATTCAAATTAAATTAAAAAATTGTAAAGGTGAAGGGGAGAGATTGGTGGATAATTTAACTTAAAAAATATACAGGGATATTTTGGTAATTTTAGGGTCACACATAAGTTTTTTTCAAAAGGGGATCATAAATCCAAAATGATTGATTGGAGGGACCATATATCCCAATTTCCCAGGGAATTTAGGGTTTTAAGGTTTCTAAAAAAAACGCTTTTTAAGGTTTGTAATATTACAACATGGATTTTGAGGTTTCTACCAAAAAAAAAAAAAGTTTTAAGGTTTTTTCCCAAATTACTCTCTTCAGATCTTGATTGGAAAGTTTTTTTTTTTTAATGACTAGGATACATAATAAACAATCTATTGAATAAGAATACGAATAAAAGTAAGAATGATATTTGTTTTAGAAAGAACTAATAGATTTTTTTTTTTTAACTTCAACCTCGTTTAAAAATGACAATGAATTTGAATGGAAATTAATGAAATGGGACTTTTATTTATTTTATGTTGTACACCCCAAATTTTTCTAGAATCGAAATAAGAAATTCATTGATGTTAAGCCCTGTTTACCTATCAAGAATCGAAATGGAAATAAATCAGAATGGGAATGTTATTTCTTTGATGCTGTTTACTAGAAATTTTCTGGAATCGGAATCAAAACTCCTTTGATGCTATTTACTAAAACTGTGAAATCAGATATATGACAATTACTAGTATACCTGTCTTCTTCCTAATTAATCACAAATACATGGTGGTGCTAATTTTTTTTAATTACAATAATAATTTATTTTGATTTATTTTATTACTATACTTTTGATAGTAAATATTTTTGACCAAAACAATTTATTTATTATTAATACTAAAAATAATAAATAATTAAAATAAAACTACATCCACTAAAATACTATTTTATTATTAGAACCATCATCATTTAATATAAAATATTATTAAATTTTATTATAATAATATTTAATAATAATGTTATTAAATTTTATTCTCATAATAATTAATAATAATAATGAATTATTAAATAATAATAAATATAATTAATAATAACAAAATTAAATTAAAGATTAAATATTTTATAATAATATCACATTAACTAATAAAAGTGATATAAATTTTTACTAAAGAAAAATTATTAATAGTATAAATGAAAAATAAATAAAAAAGTATAAAACAATTAAATAAAAAGTTATGGATCTCAAGGTTGAAAGTAGAAAAGTGAATGCAATAAATAGATGGAACCCACGGAATAAGGAATGGAAATGAGACTGATGAACAAGTGTGTTCCACTATGAGCTTTTTAACAATCCATAATTTGTTGTCGCCATATCGAGAGGAGCGAATACACCACTTGCATGAATCTTCGATGCACCTTACAACCAATTATTTCTGGTTGGATTTGACGGTTTTAAACTGAAAACTTCCTTTTAATGCAGCATAATGAACCTTCTCAAATTCTTCCTTATTTTGAAAAACACATAATTCTTCCAACAAGAAATTAGAGGGCGCATAGCCAAAATCAATAGGGTCCATGAAGATAAATTTCTTCACCCTAAGATAAACTACGCTATGAGTGACGTTCGCACTTCCACTGTCCCGTAAGATAAACTACGCTATGAGTGACGTTCGCACTTCCACTGTCTCGTAGATGGCGTTATATACGGAGTTAATATAAAAAATTATATGAAAATCTCTAGAGATGCATGCAATGGGTTGTTGTAGGGTGGAATCGAATGAAATTAAAACGTGCTCAGTACTGAACCTTTGATAATTGTTGTCATGCTCCTCCTAGCTTCCATCATGTAAAATCGGGGTTACAAGCGATTGCATAGTATTCCCACATTGCTTGATTTAAATTCTCAAACAATGTAACCAAAATGGCCAGGGTTTCAAGTTTCGAGCGACATGTCGTTTTTTATATTTTTATTGATATGATTCTATACCCCATTTTCATAACGAGCACCTCGACTCCAGTACAACATGTTGGGGAGGGGATTCGAACTTGCAACTTCTTGGTTAGAGGTATATGCCAATTACCGCTAAGCTACGCTCGCTTTGGCATAACTCGTATGATATTAAATCCTAGGTAGGTGGCCATCATGATTTAAACTTATTCTCTCTAAGTATTTTGCTATTTACATTGGTCTTTTATTAACCACTAAGCCACACCATGATGGTTCTCGCACGATCATGGTTACTGCGAGACTTTACAAAATTACTTTTATTATTATCTTTTTTATAAACTTCTTCCTATTGCTGTGGTAGAGAAGATTTCAGATTTTTGTTTTTAATTTCTTTGGATCTTGCATAATTATTTTCGTTAGGTTGAAATACTATATTTTATGTCCTTTCAATTTTTGTAGTTTTAATATTTTAAAAATTTTAGTTTTTGATCCCTGATTTTGGTCCCTTTATTTTATTTTTTAATTTCATTTTTCACTCTATATATCGCTGTGGTGGGGAGGATTTCATATTAACACCTCCCCGTTGCTATAGTACGGTCTGTGTTTTTATTTTTATTTTAAACAAAATATTTTTAAAATGTTAAAATTAAAAGAAATTTTAATGAGCTGCAATTCTCATTGTCATATTTGCAAATATAGTAACAAAATTATGATTTGAAAATATGACGGTTCTTGTAAACTTTCTATAGGCCTATTTAGATCTTTTTTATGTAATTCAATTTTTTCTCTCGTATATCACTAGTAGATGTCTTTATTTATCATTTATAAATGCTAATAGATTAAAGATCTCTTGCCCTGATGGACACTAATAAGATAATAAATAATATTTGTCATTCATAGATATCACTGGTAGATGCCGATCAACATCTACTAGTGAAGACTCTATCACTAATAGACGTCTATCAATGATGTAGACGTGTGAGGTTGAATTATCACGGGAGTTAAATGGTGAGTTTGGACTATCTTTTATTATTTATTATTTATTTATTTTATTTTTATTTTTTTGCTTTGCTATATTTATAAATTCAAAATGTGGTTATATTTGCAACTAATGCGAATGGTAATTATGACATGAATTTCATGGATGATATTTCACATATCTCACATTTTCATTCTTTGGAAGGGAAACACAAACCTAGGATTCAAGTTTTTCCCTACATTCCCAAACACAATGTGATCCATCTCTAACACATTTGAACTACTAATACAAGAAAGAAAGAAAAATAAAAGTAAAACAGGAAGGAAACGAAGTTTATAAACTGCAAAAACAAAATTAAAAAAAAAAAAAAAAACGTTTCCCTCCAGAAAAACTTGAGAAAGCTAAGAACAAAAGAATGCCTAGTTTAACTTTTTACACTTCGTGGCAAGCTTCCAAAGACAATTCAAGATCCTCCATGGCGATAATAGAGTACCGATCGATACATAGCAGCAATATAAAGGAAGCAGATGAGCAGTATAAAGATATCATCCATCAGTCCAAATACTCCTAGCATTGCTGCATAAAAAACATTCAAACCAACAAAAGAAGAAGAAAAATAAAACCATGAGTAAAGCAATAATTACAGAACAATTGTGGATATTTGCTATAGGCTAGACGAGCTATCGAAAAACCATACCAACAAAACGTACAAACAGGTAACTGGGGAAAAATATTACCTTCTGGTATGATATCGATGGGACTCAGAGTGTAGACTACGCTCAGTACCATCTGAAACAAATTACAGCAGTTATAACACAAGTAGAACTACTGCTTGACATTCAATTAACCAGAATTGAGTCTCTTGGTTAAAACCGGCTTTCATTAAGATAAACGAAAGAATAAAGATACTTCTGTTAGAAAAAACCAAGCCGAAGCGGGGCACACGAACTTATAAAACCCACGACCAAGAAAATAGAAAACAGAATATAATTATGACTCGATAACTCATATCTGGAAAAACTAGTATAGCTATAGCAGGATAAATTCGAGTTTAAAACGATAATTCCTAAACATGCTGAGAAAGTTGAGTCATTCACTTAACTGCAATGTAAACGCGTGCTCTAATGACAAGAGGAAGAGATCTCTGGGGATCGAGGAGTTCCCGAAGCAACCTCCGTAGAAGAAAAGGAAGGTCTTGCATTCGCTGTAGAGAAGAGAAACCACCTTCAAACCCTCAAGTAGTTATATGTTTAAATAAAAGAGCAATCACCCATATAACAATTATAATGGTGAAACTTGGAGCTGAGCTGATAGTTGGTCTTTCTTACCACTATTTGGTTTACAATATAACCATGATACATATATTTATTGCATAACCTAAGTACCTTTTTTCACATGTATAATGCAGAAGAGTCCATAGACCAAGCACAAGTCTATAACTAAAACGATTAATGAATCAATATCCCATACTCCAGATCAGACGAGTGAGAACTAAAATTTAATCACTTTTGTTTCTTCTCTCTCTTTTCCATTTTTTGTTTCTTCTCTCTCTTTTCCATTTAAGGAACAAAACTTTAATTAAGAATTGGCCACGCTTCAAATGCAATATGCCATTACAATCCATCGATAAAGTTAAATGTAACTTTCTGCAAATAAGACTAATGAATGCATATCCCCATTCTCCAGTCCAATGAGTTAACATTTTTCACTTTTTCTCTTTTTTATGAAACAAAACTTTCATTAAGAATTCTACTTTCCATTTTTTTCTCGTTAGAAAACAAAATTTTCGTTAAGAATTATGAAGGTAACACCAGAAAATAGTGGCATCACGCAGAAACACAGAACAAAAGAATCTTGTACCAAAATTTTACAAAATCCCAATTATTAACAACCAATAGTCTTTATTAACAACAAAAGACCTTCCCTTTTCCTTAAAGACTCCAACCACCTAGAGTTTCCAAATCCCAATCATCCATCATCCCCCCTTTTGAAAAAGCACATCATCAAATCAAATTCCTTGAAAATAAAGGACCACCCCTTTGCAGCAAACAGGCAATGCAAAAGCATATGATCTAAAGAATCTTCATTTTCTAAACAAAGGCAGCAAATTGAGCCATCACCCAGTTTGGGAGCTTTTCCTGCAACATTTCATGTATTGAGGCTTCTGTAAGCCAAAGACCACAAGGAAACAAAAACTTTAATCTTCTTTGGATGTTTGAACTTTCAAATCCACTTCACCAGAGGATAACATTGTCTTGAGTGTGCCTTGGAAGACTTCAAGAAGGCAGATTTTGTAGAAAACAAACCTTAGTGGTCTACCTTTTATTTAACTCCATCTCAAGCATTGCCCAAAACAGTGGAGAGAGCCTACACCAAGGCCACAAAAACAAGTAGTGGTCTACCTTATATTCACCAAGTGAGATATGTAACTCCATCCCAAATGAAATCCCTGATCATCTTTTCCAAACGATGAATGACCCTTGAGGAAGAGAGATTAAGTAAAATGGAAGGCTGTTCAAAACCGAGTGTGCTAGAGTTAGGCACCCTGCTTTTCAAAGGGAAAGACTTCTCCACTAGTCAATTTTCGCTCTAAATTAGCCCACCAAAGGATCCCGAGAGGCAACTGAATGGCACTTTCCCCCAAGAGGAAAGCCCAATTAGTTGAAAGGAAGCTTCTCCACTTTACAGCCTATTATGGAAGCTTGGCGATCAATTTCAAAAGCATCAACATTTATCCCAATTAGTGACCTTTGAAATGTTGAGAGTTAGACCCAATCCAAGCAGAAAAAAGATCAACAAGATACCACCAGGCTTGCACATTTCCTTCCTCATCTGAACAAAAATAAGTGTATCATCAGAGTGGTGAAGATGTGTAATCTCTATTTTGCTGACAATACACTTCCTTCATATGTTGAATTCTTTAATTAACACAATTGAAGCTTTTGAATGGTTATCAGGTTTGAAGGTCAATTGGGATAAATCTTCGATTTGTGGAAGTAATATAGACCATTCCAAATTATCCCAGACTGCATCTGGCCCTCATGGCAAGGTGGATTCATTACCATTCTCTTATTTAGGTACACCTCTCGGTGGGAATCCAAGATCTCTTGATTTTTGGCCGCCTATTCAAGAGAAAATATCAAAGAAACTGATATCTAGATGCTTAGAAAAGAAAAAGAAGATGTCTACACCCTCTCTCTCCGTTCTCTCTCTTCCTCCCTACCATCCTTCTGAAAGATGTCTCACCTGACCTCGTCGCCGGGCTTCCGTTTATCTCCTTCATGGCTTCACGGAGACTAACCACTAAGATTGAAAACAAATCTTTCTCTTGCACTTTTGACCCAAGGTATAAGGGAAGAGTCGTCCAGATCGAAGAACAGCATCTACAAAGGAGGTTTACTATTTCATTCGAAGAGGTGATTATAGTATGGGTGATAGATATGGTCACAGACCTTCTCCTTTCCCCCAAAATCAAAAATTCTTCCGGAAAACACCTTGTGAGAATGGTTTTGTTTGGATTCTAAAAACCACAAATAAGCGCGGGAGCTTCATTGAGTTAACCAAGGTGCAAAACTCGGGGGAAGAAAAACATTGTAGTTCCGGCCGGCGAGGAATACAAAGGCTGGAATTCTTTTAAGCAACTTCTTCTAGACGTCCTTAATGGTTTTGAATCATCAGGTTCTGCAAAGAACTACACCAGAACATCGATGGACAAATCCTATGCAGCTGCGCTAAAGAGCTCTTCGCCTACACGGAAGAAAGTAGAGGTACAAATTCAGAAAAAAGAAATCAGGCCGGTAGATTGGAACCAGACTCTTGTTATCACTAGGAGAGACTTCCACGACGACTGGGGGAATATATTGACTACTTTAGAGAATCAACTTCAGAAAAAGCTTATTCTCAATGCTTTCCAACCGGATAAGGCTATCCTTAAATGCCCAGACGAAGATTTAGCTCGGCTTCTTAGCATGAATAGAGGCTGGGTTACTTTCGGCGCCCTCACTTTGAAAGTGGAAAAATGGAATAAAGAAAGACATGGATTTAACTAAGTGGTTCCTTTTTATGGAGGATGGCTGAAGCTCAGAAACGTTCCGTTGCACTTATGGAGCGAGGATCTTTTCCGCAAGATAGGTGACATCTTCGGAGGTTTTATTGATTTTGCAGATGAGAACGCGGCGAGAATAGAATGTATGGATTTAGCTATTAGAGTTAAAGGAAACTACTGCGGCTTCATTCCGGCGGGAATCAAGATTCAAGACGCAGACACCACTTTCATAGCCCAAGTGGCGACCTTCGAGGATGTGAAGCTGCTGATCGGTAAAGAAGCTAAAGTCCACGGAAGTTTTTCGCCGGAAGCAGCATCACGTTTCCACGGCGGATCGGAGGGAAGGACAGATCTTTGTCCAGTGGATCTTTGGAGGATAGAGGATGGCTTCTTTTACCCAGCAGTCAAAGTCTTTTCCCCTTTAGAGTTTGATATGGCAGCTCTGAGACAAACAAGGGCAACCACAGACATTTCCCCAGCGATGACAGTTCCTGTAATCTCGAGTCACCCTTTGACAGGGACAAATGAAGGGAGAGATTTTAAAAAGGCTAGAAGTCAATTGGGCCCCATTGAAGAGTACAGATTTTCAGAACCCACTTTAGGAAATGTTGAAACCCACACGCAAAAGACAAAAGTCCCTTTCATAAATGGGGGG